TCTACAGACACAAAAATCTAAACTCACATGTAAAAGTCTACCCTTGAGTTTAATTGCTAACATATAGAAAGTTGATGCTTAACTTCTGGTTTACTAATCCCCATTAGTAGCTATTACAGAAGATAATCTAAATCAAGTTTGTACATCCTATCTGAACTCTCATATGCCAACTCTTGACCACATTAAGGTAAGTAACTCTTCCATAATTACAGCCAGCTCTTGTGATGTCAGAGTGGAGGTGAATGAAGAACAAACGAAGGTTTATTCTTACGTAGATCAGGAAGCATTAGGGAGCTCAACATCAGGGCACATGTCTATACCCTTGGGGCTGGCACCTCCCCCATGCCTAGACCTGGTTCAGCTGAAGCCACGGGGATCTTGCTAGGCCTCTATCTGTTTTCATCTAGAAATCCGAATCAGAATGCCCAAGTGTAAGTTTCCTTGCATCAACCTTGACAGGAAATCGTATCCATTCTGGTTGTTAAACCAAGTGATGTTTAATGGCTGAAAAGAGTATAGATGACTCACCAGTAGGAGTCAGTCCATTATAATTGTTGCTGAGATTCTCCTGACCATAAAGTATTATGAGGAAGGCCAAGTGACTACCTTAACACACTGCCCCATGGGCGCACTCTTTTGAACCAAAGAAAATACTAGAAAAAACTTTTTTGTCCTTTCCTCTTACAGAGTATTCCTACTATGTATTTTTTAAATTGATCACTTATTTCTTTTTTTATATATTTATTTATTTTATTTATTTACTTTCTTTTGGGGGGGAGCGGGCTGCATCAGGTCTAGTTGCGGCATGTGGGGTCTTCATTGAGGCATGTGGGATCTTTCATCGCGGCTCGGGCTCTTTGTTGTGGTGCTCAGGCCTCTCTCTAGTTGTGGCGCACGGGCACCAGGGCGCGTGGGCTTTGTAGTTTGCGGCACACCGGCTCTCTAGTTGAGGCGTGCGAGCTCAGTAGTTGTGGAGCGCGGGCTTAGTTGCCCCATGGCATGTGGGATCTTAGTTACCCAACCAGGGATCGAACCTGTGTCCCCTGCATTGGAAGGCGGGTTCTTTACCACTGGACCACCAGGGAAGTCCCCCTACTATATTTTTTTCCCCATAACCACAGTTTGAATTTTGGTATGTTATCTTTCATATGCTACCTTTTACCTTTTTTTTTAATGCATTATGATCATTGCGGTCACAATGCCTCTGGAGTCACTGTGTTCACTGTGTAACGAATTTAACTCCAGTGTCCAGGATCACGCTGTATAGACCAGTGTCTGGGAGCACTCTCTGTGTAGACTCATGTCCTGTGAAGGCCAGGATGGAAAAGGATTCACGAACCTCTGCCCAAATATGCCTGTAGTCAAAAATGTACACAAAACTCTGAGTGCTGAAGTTAGTGCTCAGTGGTAAACTATGGTTTTATAAGTTACAAGTGTGTTCTGTTTTAATGCTTTTGAACTATTGATCTTGAAATACTCTATTTTTAAATATTAAATTTTACTATAGGAATAAAAGTGTAATAGTTTTTTCCCCCGTTGTACATGTTTATTAGGCAATGTTTGTTGATGTAGCAGCAACTAGACAGGGTTGAGTTTGACAGATCTCTGATTGCAAATACATATGGGAGCACTTCAGTTTATTTATTTTTTCTCATTTAAAAAATTTACTTCTGTTCTTAGAAGTCATGTTATTAGCTGTTGCTCAGAAACTGTCTTTTTCTCAGCACAGCTCTCATTTTAACCATGTTTTGCAAGATAAATGAGTTATAAGTAGATGTATCTTAATAGAATGTTCTTTTTTATTACTTTCTTTGATAGATAAACTGATTCTCTTATCTAAAAATTTTGTAGAAAATCACGTTCTCTTAAAACTTAAAAAAAAATGCATCAGACATATAAATTCTTTCAGAAAGTAAAGGTAGCGTATTTATGTTTCATAAAACTCTATTTTATGGCAATTGATATAATTTGATGCTTATGGTATATTTCAAGTTTATTGTTACCAGTCATGTCCTTTTTGCTTTCAGCAGTGAAATTATCTCCTACATAACATTCTTCCCTCTTCCTTCTGAAAGTGAAATTATTTATGAGATGGTGGCTTAGCAACAAGAAGAAAAGGAAAATGATGCCTTTCTTACTCCAAGGGAGAAATGGAGTGTTGTGTACTAGAAAGAGCTCTGTACTGGAATGAGGAAATATGCATGCTGGTTCCAGCTGTGCTGTAATATGAATGTTTGTTAGATGAATGGATCAGTTTCTTTGGACCTCAGTTTCCCAATTATAAAGTTTAGAACCTAGAGTAGATTATCTCTCTGTCTACTATTAGCTCTAAAATTTCCTTATTCCATGTAAGCAATGTCTACCTTCTTACTGGAATCCTTTGCTGTGAAATGGTCAGTTCAAGTATTGTTATAATGGAACGCGTTTGGTATGTGTTAGTGTAATGATGCTTCACCTATTTTTTGTTGTTAATCTGTCTCCCTACACTTGGAAACATTCCTTACCTAATTACACAGGAAGTCAGTAATGGGAGTTGGGAGTGAGGTCTTGATTTTTATACCTTTTCTAATGCTCTAACATGTGAAATTAGTTTCCATGAATTGTTTGGTCCAAATCTGAAATAGAAATTTATCATACATTTTTATGCTTGTCCCAAACTCCATTCTTAATGTAACGGGCTACATATCTATACATTAATTTATCTTCAGAAAATATTGCTTTAATGTTTTAAAGCCATGCCACACAATAAACTCATGCTTGGTGGACATTTCCCATGCTCTGTTTATTTTGTGTGAAGCCCCCATTCCTATAAATAACCTGCTCAGGGAAAATTTGCAAGGACATAGCTCAACTTGAATGAGAGAGAGCTAGGTTGAAAAAAAGATGGAAAAAACATATGTGGATTCCAGCTTATCTTGAATGAGTGTTCTGGCATGGATTTTTTTATTTTGTTTTAAATCAATTGCCAGAGCACCAGATATAGTTACATTCAAGCTTAACTGATTTAATGTATTATAATTCAGATTCATTAAAATTATATCTATGAAGAATTTTTAATGACATGGCAAATGGTAATACAGTAACTGAGGAAACTGAGAAAAGAAATTTTGCCTTACAGTTTGATCTCAACCAGAGGGAAATAAACACACAAACATATTAACTGTGGTTCTTTCCTAGATGATGAGATTATTTTATAATGATTTTTCTTTCTGTATTTTTGCTTTAAAAAAAAGATAAGAAATTCAAATAATAGTTTTTGTCAGATATTTAAAATACAAATAATTTTTTTTTTGTTTTTGTATTATTGCAAATTTGGATCTTCCCTTGCCTCTACTTATGACTCCATAAGAGGAACAGCTCAGATTCAACTTACCCCACACACACCTGAGGCCATAGCAGTAGGTCATGGCACAGTTGTAAGGCTGAGGTTTCAGTAGCATCAATAATGAGAAGGAGGGTCTTCAACATCACAAGGATCAGCAAATGGATCCCACCACACCAACACTTTTTTTTTTTTTTTTTTTTTTTTTTGGTTTTTCGGGCCCTCCC